TGTTTCTGAAGAGTATGGAGAATAGTACTGTCCGTCGCCTTATGTCTCGGCTATTATTGGGCAAATGCGACGGGGTCTGAAGATACCAAGATACTACCCTGATATCAGATATCTTGTGACTAGTGAATCATCTTGAACCTGATTCGCTCTTCAGTCCATATTGCTTGGTGCTTCGTAATCTTGCTGGCGGCAGGCTACTGCACAATACCCTTGACTATGGCTAGACTGCAGAAGCGTTTCAAGGATTTCATTGGTAGGATCTCGCAAAAAAGGCCTTGTCTCTTCTCCCTGAGTAGTATTCTAAAGAATAGTCAATAGTCATGTTTCTGACTCTTTCGTCTCATGGCTCAAAGCTGTCCGCGCTATCCGAGAAATTCTAGCCTGGTTACATTTACCGTTATTCGCGTGGGCTCTGCAGGAGAGCACGTTGACATGGTCCAATGTCGTCATAATCTCCTTCTTCTTTTCAGAGATAGTATTATATCAGGTTACTTGGTAAATGATCTCCCATAATCACTGAGATAATTCCATACCTATTTATTGTTGCAACTTGCGCATCCCTCCTGTTTGCAGTGACCACGGATTCACCCGGTTGGACTGTGATCCGAGGGCCAGCCACCAATCAGGGGCCTTGTGGCGCCGCCTCCCGCCAGGTGCCCCCTCCACCGTTGGTCAACTGGCCCAATTTGTGTCTGAGATATCGCCATGGACGTAACTTACCCCTCCCCCTTCTCCATACATTGATACTCCTTACAGTCCATACACCCAAGGCAGAAGCCAGAATTCATCGACTAAAGTAATATACCTAAGGCATATTATTATTCCTTCATCACATCGGCTCCTGCTGGGTAAACTTTCATTTCCGTGCTTACTTTCTTCCCCACTCCACCCGCGAAGGTGTGTCGCTCTGTCTGGCTTGTCTTTTGAGGTACGTATTGTTTCCACCAGGATAATCTATCGAGCTCGTATCGATCTATCTGTCTATCTGTCCATCACACGTTTAATCCTCGTCTATCGCATTCGCTGCACATATTCTCGAATAATACAACGATACAATACACATACCCCATACTCCCTACCTGCTTTTCGTTTATGCACCCAGGCAGTTTATCGTCACACTGGCTGTTGTTCCGTGTACCCACTGATTGATTCCATCGGCTGGTGGCGCGCGTTCTTCCCTAACAATCACACTGTTTACTACCGCTAGCTATTTCTTATGCATCGGGTTTGTTTTTCCCTTTCCAAGTCAAGCCTAACTCGGATATCCTGGGCCACCTTATCGCGTTTCCCTGGCGCTTGACTGGGTGCCGCCGCTTTCTGCAGGCAAGGAACCTTGGGAGGACCCAGTTTCCTGCCTGTATCAGCCTCAGCCCTCTGTGGCGGTGTCCTCTCCAGCCACAGCTCTGTTTCCGAATCAGTTCACCGCCTTGTCTTTTTCTCCTTCTTACCTTACCTTACCTCTTATCATACTGCTCTTCTCTCTCATTATTCTTTCCAACTGCACCAGATCAGAGGTACCTACTATCAATACCATACCTTACAAAACCTGTATCATCCGAATCTGCAACCTTTTCCTGCTGATCCCGCTGCCTCTGCCACACACCACTGACCACTCACTGTGATCACCAACCACCAACCAAAAACTGAACTAACTGCTTCCCCTCCCCAATCCAGTCCATGATTCCATCATCAACTGCATGCGCGTCGTGATCTCTCACATCCCAGTCAAGGATCAACTTGTTTCGTGGCAGTCTCTCCTTCTTCCTTTCTTTCCATCCCACTGCAGCTGCGCTTGCCAACTCACCTCCGCCCATCCTGTCCCGTCACTGGGGTTCTCAACACCTCTCGCTCGCGTTTCGCTGACGCGCCCACGGCCCTGCTGACGGCCGTCATCAAACTTTGCCTTCCCCCGTCCTTCCTTGGCCCGCCATGTATGGCACATCCCACACTTCCGTCCCCGCCCCGATGAATGGCATCGGAGGCGAGCTTGTTGATGGGTCGGGGACCATCAATCCTGCTGCTCTGAATAATTCCGGTATGCTATCCCTTTTTATCTGCTAGCCTCCCTACATTTTATCTCTTGCATATCATGATCTTTGAGCGATCCCACTGTCGCTTATCACGGAGGTCGTGGTTTATTTGTACTTTGTCCTTTGCGACAGCCTCCCACTGACGGCCTTTTGCTAGTCGCCGCTGTTCTTCCCTCACCTTCCTTGGGAGACTCAGCGCCAGCAGGTCCGACATCAATAGCTACCCCCGCAGGCCTAAATCCCCCTCGTGGCATCAAGCGCAGTCGCACTCCCGATCAACGCGCAAACTCGCGCGCGGATGGTGACCATGATGACGGTATGTGCGCGTCGCATCTTCCACGGTCAAGGTGCCGTGCGAGACTGTCGAGCCGCTTCGTCGCCTTTTCTCTGTTATACATTTACGCATCTCTTGATGGTATTGATGCTAACTTCATATCGTAAATAGATGAACAGGGTCGACGAAAACGAGGACGTCCTCCGAAGACGCAACGGCCCAACGACAGCCAGAGTCAACAATCGCCTGGGAGTGCGAGCGTGCAGACTCCCCGAATGCAGTCGCAGTCGCTTCCACAGCAGACCAGTGTGAACGTGTCGCCGCCGCAGGCATCTCCCCCGGAAAAGGCGACCCCAACCAAAACCGCTGTAGTGAAGGCGCTCCCCACGGTCAGAGATCACACCACCGACCAGCTCAACGAAGAAGGCGATGAGTATATCCCCAAGGAGTTTGATGAGGCCGGCGAGAAGAAGGTGGACGCCATGGGTTACCCCCAAGGCGGCCGCGAGTTCAAATGTCGGACATTCCGTGTGCCGCTCCGTGGAAATAAGCTGTTCATGCTGGCGACCGAATGCGCACGAGTGCTTGGGTATCGAGACTCATACCTGCTGTTCAACAAGAACCGGTCTCTGCACAAGATCATCGCGTCGCAAATCGAAAAAGACGACCTCATCCAGCAGGACGTTCTGCCGTACTCGTATCGGTCGCGCCAGATTGCCATCGTCTCGGCCAAGTCGATCTTCCGTCAGTTTGGCAGCAGGGTCATCGTGAATGGACGGCGCGTGCGCGACGATTACTGGGAAAGCAAGGCGCGAAAGCAGGGGTTCACCGAGGATGACCTGGCTGGTGAAAAACGACCGGGGGCCGGCAAGGCTCGGGACGCCGCCGCCGCGGAGGCAGCCAATGCTGCGAATCTGTTGCCGACCCTCACCCATGGCGACGTCATCTACAGCAATGCGCTCGAGACCATGCCTCATGGCTTGCCGGTCGGGGGCCCGTCCTCGTCCTCGCTGGCTTCTCTGCCGATGATCCACATGGCCACCACCTCCGATGATCCCCGGCTGAGGGAGTACAACAGTATGCCTCGTGCGCGCCAGGAGATCACAGGCCAGCCGTACCAAGACCGATCGCAGCCCAGCTCGGCTGCTGAAATCCTCAACCATGCCTCGCACACGGCCGACTTCAACAAGATTCTGAGCAACCAGCGCAGTTTCCGTCAGAAGGGCCTGGAGGAGTTTTACTCCAGACAGCGCGAGGTCCCCGAGACCGCGGATCTGTCTCAACCCGGGCAGTTGGACGCCACCGTGTCGGCCTCCCAGCCCTTGCAATCGCCTCAGATGGCGTCGACGGGCTTGATCAGCTCGACGCAGCCGCAGGCGATTCTTCCCAACCAGGCGCCGATGATGGCCGGTCAGGCCGCCTTCCAAGCGCCCACGGGACACCAGCAGGGCCATATTGCTCAGTCTCCCATCCAGCCCATGCCCGCGGTTCGGCCCAACCTGATGCATCAGCGTTCGAACCCTTCTATGTCCGGGGGCACACCGCAGCCGACCGGACCGTATGGGTACCCGGCGCAACAGCAGCAAATGTGGGGTCAGCCACCTCCGCCGCCTCAACAATCCCCCATGTCCGCCGGTGGCCCGCAAGGGGTTGGGATGCCGCAGTATGCGACCCAAATGCATGCTCCACAGCAATCTCCCTCGCCCATGGGCCACGCTGTTCAGGGCCAGCATCACCCCTCGCAGTCGCCTCGCACGCAACACCGCCCGTCTGTGGGTCAGATGCAGCAGGCGTACCAGATGCATCATCCGCAGGCGCCGCAGCAACAAGCCATGGCGTCCATGGGCTATCCAGGAGGGGCCGCCAGTCCGTATGCTGTCGCAGCTGCCAGAGGCATGTATCCCTCTACACAAGGACCCGGGGGTCAACAGTTTATGGCTGGAAATCCTCAGCAGGCGGGATTGGCCATGGGGATGAACCCGGGGGGTGCCATGCCCGGCTGGCCATCTACTCCCGGTGGGCCGATGCAACCAGGTCACCCACAGCCAGGCCAAGGCGGAACTCCCCTAGGAGGGTGGTCGGGTTATTAGTCAAGAACATAAGCACAATTTTGGAAGAATGCACCCGAGGAACAACAGGCAAGGGGAATATATTCATGGCCGGGCGTTTTGCGGACTTGGCGTTCATGGACACGAGGCGCCGGCGAAGGTATTGATCATTTCTCCCATCTTTTTCCGGCCTGGAATCTTATTTAATGATAATCTGCGCATTTCCTTTTTTATACCAGCCGTTATACCCGATTGCGTTGTGTATCTAGTCTTGCGATTTCTATGCAAATTCTCTGGGTGTTTTCTCTTGGGGTGAAGAGGTTCATTTGCATGTGGCATGGATCTATTCTTCGATGTTCTCATAGATGGAATGGTGGTTGCACTTATGTCTTCGGTCGCGTTTCTGTCTGCTTTGCATGCATGGATTTTGTGTCATGCCCACTCTACTCTATGCACTGTGCCTATTGACTTGTCGGTGTCATCTCTCCTTCTGGCATACCGGTCCCTGCGATGATTGTTGTGTCTATAGTCGGGGAACCAATTTGATATACTGCCCCAAGCGTGTTTGTAGGAAGGAGTGTGTAGCAATTACATGGTTAACATATTTCATCTCATCCTTGTAGTCACTGATCACCACTCCTAGTTCAGTCAAAACCCCGCGACCAAAGGCGTGGTGACCGGCGCCGCAGTCGACGCACACACACACGCCGTAACCGACGTCACCGGCGGCGCCGTACAATGCGCCGACGTAGTCCAGGGGACCGTGGTCGGCTCCGGCGCATACTTATTCGAGAACTTCTTCGCCTTGACCAACACAGGAATCACCGCGCCCGTCTTGAGCGAGAACGCCCGATGCCCCAGCACCCGCAGCAGACTCGCAATCTCGCCCGAATGCGCCGTCACACTCACAAACAGATCCTTGCCATCCGTCCGCTCAAACATCTCGTCCAGCGCACTCTTACTCCGCACATCCTGCGCCGCGCTCGTCTCCCCAGTCACCCCATTCCACAGCTCGTCCTCCTCACTGAACCCCTCTTCAATCTCCCACCCGGGAAATAACCCCGTAATGTATGATCTACTCCGCCGATGATCACACGTATGCAGACTAATCCCCTCGCGCAGCCCCTCCATAACCAGCGGCTTGAACGCCGCAGCTTCCTTGGGTAAGGTTAGGTCACTGAACGTGAGATTAGCCGTCCGCAGCGCGCGCGTCAGCGGACTGACGAAGTATGCGTCTGGGGTGTGCATCCCGTCTCCGGTAATGAGTGAAGCCCAGAAGTCGTGGGCGGTTTGGGCTTGGGCTATTCCTGCGGGGGTGAGGTCTGCGTCGGACCAGGTTACCGTGCCGTTGCCGGCTAGGAGGGACCAGTAGCACTTTTTTTTTTCTTTGTCAGCTTTTTCCTTTCCTTTCCTGGAAGGAAGAAGAAGGTTTGTTGCTGAGGGGCATGGCATGGCATACATTCCAAGCAGGAGTACCGTAAAGACTCTCCGCGGCATTATGCCATCCCTCGCCGTGGCGGCCGAAGAAGAAAACCTTGTATTCTGTTTTATGGGGGGCGTGCTTGTTCAGTTCGTGGATGTGGTTGTAGAAGCGTTGCCACTGCGTGAGTGTGGTGTTCTCGTTGTCCGCATCTGTGTCGTAGGTGCGGTTGATCAGGCCGAAATTGTTCGCTGTCTGTTGGATCTTTAGTTTGGGTTATGTTTAGGGTAAAAGAGGGAGGGGACATACGTAGTCAAAGGTCGATGGGTCGGTGCTGGCCTCATCTTGTAGGAAGTACCCCGTTACCGTGGTGTACTCGTAGTAAGCTGCTTGTGCTGTCGCGGCGAGACCGAGAGCGAGGAGGCTTAATGCGCACTTCATTTTGCGCTTGTTTGCGATTCAGATGTTGATGAGATGCAGACAGAGGCAAAGGTAGCTGTCGCCATCTTTATACTCTAGCAATGGCAGACAGCAGTATCGTGCGCTAAGTCAATGATAATATCGCTATATTGCGACTGCGCGGCCTCTATGCCTACTGCCTACCACTCCGGCACGTGCGTCGCTAGCTAGCCTGGTGGATAAAGCCTGGCCTGGAGGCATTCTCATGTGGATAATACCATTGGTGGTTGATTATTGTTTGTGATTCGACGGTCGGAGAAGTCGGAAATTAGTCTAGATATGGAAGGCCAACTGTGTCTGTGGATCATGATTCTATTGTACAGACTAAAGTTAACCTCATCATATTATGTATTAGGGTAAAGATGGTAAGGTAGAAGTCATATCCTCCAAGTAAGTATAACCAGTCGCTTCAAACAGATGCAATCCAAACGTATCGACAGAGAAGGCGAGCCCTAAGCTCAATAGACAATGAAGTGAAGAGCCCAAGACACCAGCAGTATAATGCAGAAATGCTCCGAGTATAAACAACAGGCCCAAGTATGTATAAGCTCCATGTGGATATCAATATATGAAACAGGACGGCCAGGAAGCCGTGCAAGAAAATTCAGAAAATGGTCGCTCAGTTCTGAAAATTGTGTGGCGTAGAATTGGCGGCGAATGTGTAGGCCTTGGGTTTGTGCGATGGGAGCTGCTGAGCGACGAATCGGTGGATCTCTTGCTGTTCAGGAAACTCTTGAATCTGAAACTCAGTGGGCCTCGCATCCTCGGTCGGCACTCCTGTCGACATGTGCATGTCAATATCTTTGGACGAGTACATCCCGATATCCGCCGTTGCGCCAGTCGGATCGACAGCCTGCTCGTAAGTCACAGATGGCATCTCCATCTGGCAGCGCGCGGCGAACGATTGCTCGGACGGAGGCATTGATGCAGCGTCGGCCCAGCTCCGGCCCGTCAAAGGGGTCCCGTCACAAGAGGAATACTCGGGAAAGGTCGTGTAGTGGGCAGGGGCGGACATTGGCGGAGCGACGCCATGGTAGGAATACGACGACATCATATCTACCGCAAGCGGAGTAGCCGGAGGAGACGCGATGTTGATCTGCATGGGCTGAGTCGTGGGGAACAGGTGGCTGGTCGGTTGCGCCGACAGGCAGTACCCCCCGTCAGACGGAGTGGCTGGAAGCAAGTGGTGAAGGTCCTCTGGAGTCAGCGGCGTTGGTGGAGCCAACCCACCGGTTGTGACAGGTTGCAGCATGCTTGACATCTCGGCCTTGCTATTCAAAGTGCCCGCCTCGGCAAAGGTTGCCAGGTTGAAAGGCGACCGCTGAGCGGCCGATGCCTTTCTGACACCAGCGTACCGCGAGCCGAGACTCTGTGCGGATTTGGACTGTCTCACTGCGTGACCGGCGCCGTTCGGCAGGCGCATGGTCGGTGACATGGAAGAGGACCCAGCCAGCATCGAGCTAGATCGCGATGTGCCAATGGCCGCCGGCCTCGGCCGCTTTCTGCGCGCAGCAAGGTCGAGCTCCTTTCCAGCGTCTTTCCATGAAGACCGGCCAGTCAGCTGCGACAAGCCATGAGGCGAGCCGCTAGTGTCGATTCCAATGCCCTGCAAGGTGCTAGCAAGATCTTCGGACGAGCCTCGCCTTGACAGCTCCGGCTTGACGGAGTAATGGATGGTTCCGTATGACGAGGAACCAACATCCATGGGTGCACGGTGGCCGGGCAGCGATTCGGTCGACGTCGCCAATTGGCTCGCCCACTCCTCACCTTGACTGGCACGCTGCAGCGAACTTTCCATTGTGGGAAATGAAGGCGTGGCCAGGCCAGTATATGCGAAGGGCTCCTGAGCGCTCTGAGAGGTCCAGGAAGCTGAAGAATCTTTGCCACTCTCCCATACTGAGAAAGGGGTGTTGAGAGCACTGTGGGCGCTTTCCGAGTCATCATGGTCATTGGCCCGAGCGCTCAGGGAGAACGTCGTTGGGGAGACAGATCCTCCAACACTGTTGTCGTCATTTCGATCCTGCTCGCACTCGCTGCCGTAGTGCTCACGTGCCGCCACGGCAGCATTGAGAGCTCTCTGCAATGAGGCGAAAGTGGCCTCTCGAGCCGACTCACTCCTTGTTTTCTGATGCTTCGATCGAGATGAAGTAGAGGTCTTCTTTTGTTCGCCTGGCCCGCCCGACTCCGATTTCTTAGTGTCGTTGGTCTTATCGGTCTCCTCCTTGGTCGTCTTATCGCTTTGGTTTGAGTCAGATGTGTCGTCCGCGCTGTCGGCCTTATTCCGAACAGCTTCCTCAGCCTCTGCTTTGGCCTTTTGCATTCTCTCAAACTCCTCCTGTCTCTTTTGCTGCTTTGCCTTTGCTCGTCGGTTTTGGAACCAATTCTATTCAGAGTCAGCGCATGTCACATATTGCATTCTTCTTAGTGTCAAACTGACAGCAACTCGAGGCAAGCTCAGATTTGTCTGAGCGGCCAATTGACGCTTCACATTGCTGCTTGGCTTGGGGTGAGCCTGAAATTGAGCCTCCAGCGTCTCCACTTGTTCTTTGGTCAACCTCGGACGGGACAGATTCTCCGCGTATTCTTCGTAGTCCATGATCGGTTGATGGTAGTAGTCAACCATCTCGTATGGTGGGTGAGGGTATAGGTAGCCATCCATGGGGTGCACCATGGCATGGTGTGCCATGGCAGGGTCGTAGGCTATGGGTTGATCGAATTGAACCGCACTATGACCGCCGAAGGCGTATGGGTGGTGTAGGTAGTTCATGGCGGAGGAATTGGGGAAAGTTAGGACGCTCGAATAGGGGTGGTGTCAATGGTCTGATAGGGTCGACGGTAGAGATGTGATGGCTGCGAGACCGAAGCAAATCTTCAATTCATTGAAGAGGGAACAAGTGTCAAGGATTGCTGCATGTACAGGGCTGACTGCAACCTGGAGAGTGTCGTAGACGAAGAGAGTGACTGATTGCTGGTGGTGGGTGAGGTACTTGTCCTAGTATATGTACGGACAGTAGAACTCGACGGATGCAAGAGGGAAGATAAATGAATGACAGTATGTATAGTTGGCAGCCGGAAGGCGGGTGAGATAATATAATAGACAATTCACAGAAAAGGAAAAAGAAGGGAACGACTGAGAGCTGAATGAGTGACTGTATTAGCTAAAAGGGAAATAGGAAAAAGAAAACAAAAAGAAGGTCCTGAAATGGAAAGGGGAGAGACTGAGAGAGACTGGGAGGAGACAAAACGGAAAAAGGGACGGCGGAGAAGAAGGATTGACAGCCAAATGAGTATAGACAGATAGACAGATGAGATGAGGTTAACCTCAACTGAGGAACATTATTATTTTTGGGAGGGGGGGGAAATAGGGAAAAGGATGCATAGTGGAGTTGGGACTTGATGGACTGATGCAGAGGAGCGCAGGAGGTGTGGAGGGGAGTGATCTGATTGGACGGTCGCCTGCCCGGAACTGCGAGGACTCGGCCGCTGGATTGACTTGGTCTGGTACCAGCGCCGTATTTACCGCCTGCTTGGGTGATCGGGGAACTTTTTACGCCTCCCGCTTGGTCCATCAATACGTAGAGGTAAGGTACTTTCCTTGTCACCTTACTTGGTTCTGTATGGTTAGGAGATTCATATCTCTTCATATTTCAAGATTACTGACACACAATAGGCACTGATTGAATTACATACTCCTTTTCTGACCAAATTTTATCATCTTTATCTCATTTATCCGAGTCATTGAAGGTCTGACCTATGTAGCAGAGAAGTACACAGATTACCTGATTAGGTACCATGTATTGTTCTGTCCCAACGTAGGTTAGCGGGGACCTAATTGATCGTACGGGTACCATGGATGGTACCGTATCAGGTACCGTATCAACGTCATACAGTCGAGCCGCCGAAGTCTACTCCGTACTGGTGCTTCCTCCCGTGTGGTTCAAGGGGGTGGCGGCCGGGGCACAATCAATCCGTACGCAGAACTATCTTGAGGTCCGGGCAGGAGACTTCCAAAAAGACTACTGTACCTGGCTAAAGAGAGTAAGATACAAACAATTCAAGGAAAAGTTAGAACTGAGAAAATCGAGCAGAATCTGGGGACTCTCCATCTTTCCACCATTCCCATATGCACTGTGGATCGTAGTGTGCTAGTTTGGGCAGTCATTCTGTCTTGCTTTTTCTGGTGCGTATTGTGATGAGATGGGATCAAAGTAGAGACGATCCAAGTTAGACTCGAGATCATCACAATGTTGTCGCCACTGGTCAGTCATGCACATTGTCCATGCTGCAGAAGCACAATCATTCAGTCGAATGCAAAGTAGCATGAGGTTTCACAGCTCAGCCGTTGGTTAGCAGTTATCCCACAGTGCTCTAACAGCCTGATTTGCATGCGTCCGTCAGAACTGAGCCACTGGTTACTCGAGTCCTCCCCGAAGCAATCCATTGTCCAGTAGCCCTGAACAGCCCCTACTTCATCAGCATAACTTTAAGTCTTTGATAGCCATGTTGAAACAATGTGTCGCTTTGAAACCGCCTCAGCGGGGACGTCTATTTTTGCACCCTCCACGATGACAAATTGTACCTACAATAGTCTGTATCTCGAGGCCGAACGAGAATATGCCGTTGTATCAGCACTGAGCGATCCCCAGGATCCAGAGCCCTACGGCTTACCCTGATGATTCCCATTATCCTTCGTCAGTTCCTGCATTAGCGCCATTGAAACCCGATTTAGCTTTAGGGAGTCCCAGGGGTGTGATTCTCCAAGGAACTAAGCACCTAGGACAACGCCCATATGGTTCTCCTTAACGAATATTCCTACTTGAAGTCATGACGATCATGCTCGTGGCAAGTTGCAACAATGGCATGACAAATACTGTGCCCAGTACTCTACATAAGCATTTGAAGATGCTATCATATTCATAGATGGGATTTGCGTCCAAGCCTCCACTGATGGGAAACCACCACCGTCACCACGTCTTCAGAAT